TTCAAAAAAAAAAAATCATGTGAAAACAATCTCAAGTTGCTGTTGTTTTTAGACACAGGAAGGCTTGGGGCATTGGAGATGTTGTCCCCACAGCAGCCGATGTAACCCAAAAGACTCGGGCAGTTTTGCCCCGTCGGCGCAGGACGAAAAATCGCGGTAGCGAACATCATGGCAAGTTAACAGGCGCGCTCACAAGTCAACCACCGTCGCGTCCCGGGCTCTGGGATAACGACAACATCCTGACCTTCAAGCGACATGCGAAAATGGAAGTCAAGTCCAATAGTAATTCTCCAGTCTATGAGCCTAGTCATTCCATGATTGAAGCCAGTTGTGTATACACTTGGGCAGCGCTCGAGCGAAATAAACAGAAAGTTTCCAAATACACATAACTAACGTTAGACTGTACACTTCTCCGTCCGTTGGACAGCGCGCGGCTTTCCGAGGCCGATTACTTGCGGTTGACTTTGATTTCTGTCTCTTGACTACACTCGATCTAGAACCTGCAGTCTGCCGAGCCTGTTGCTACCTTGTGTTGTTACACTACACGATTGATGGACGCTACCCACTGCTGCGCCGCTCTGCCGGGGCCTCACCAGATCAGCAGTGTTGCTTTTCACTTGTGCTGGATCTGAGTCGAAATCCGAATCTCATTGGTTCTCGAGCTGCTCAGTTGATCGACTTGCAAGCTCTTAGACAACATGGACGACCTCCATACCTTAGACAGTAGGCAGCAAGATGCTACGTCTATCCACTATCCGCTCGTGGACATGATAAGCAACTACCTAAATTAAGATTGCCGGTAGTGGTAGGGCAGGATGCTCCATACCCCGGGTCAACCTGGGGGCGTGCTTTCCTGGTAAGGGCTAGGGTCGCCTCATGCAGCCCACTTCTTTCCTGTGCCATCCGCCGGGCAAATCTCCCCGTTCCTGACAGGTTCTTGGCATGGGAAGCCTTCGACGTAATTTCCCGACTGCAGCTTCCGCAAATCGTAGCAGGGTATCGTGTTTGCCGTCTGACACGCAACGATGTTCACGACACGCCGGAGCCGACCGTGCCCATGTGCCCGCAAGGGCCGTCAGGCTGAGAAGCACGACCAGACTCCCTGAGTGTCCATGCTAACGAGATGGCATCCTCGTCCGATGGTTCAACAAGTATAAAGATGTCGTCGATCTCGCCGATCATCAGCCTCGAAATCATTCTTCATTCACACAGACACTCACTCCTCCAGCCTTCAGCACTTCCAACAATTCCTTTGTCTTTCTTACCTTTCTTCCTCTTCAGCAACACTCCTTCATAATGAAGCTCGCCGTCTTCGCTGCCCTCTTCGAGGCTGTGGCCTTCTCGGTCACCAACGCCTACCCCGTCACCGCCGACGGCCTTACTTGTCGCTCCGGCCCGGGCACCAGCTACGCCGCTAAGAAGACCTACCCCAAGGGCTTCGATATCAAGATCAGCTGCCAGACCTCGGGCACCTCGGTGAACGGCAACAACATCTGGGACAAGACCCAGGATGGCTGCTACGTTGCCGACTACTATGTCAAGACTGGTGTCAACGGCTATGTCACCACGAAGTGCGGCTCGAGCGGTGGTGGTGGCGGCGGCGGCAGCGTCCCGGGCCCCGCTAAGAATGATTACCCCTACAAGTCCAGCTGCGGCGGCGTCGACCCCTGGAACTACTACAAGTGCCGTACGTTCCCTCTTCCCCCTCTCTCCATTCAAGTCTCGCTTTGAATACATCGACTAACAAACCCTGCAGAGTGCACCTCCTTCGTGGCGTGGCGCATCAACAAGCGCCTGGGCATCAAGTTCCACAACCAGTACAAGGGCACCAACTGGGGCAATGCCAACACCTGGGACGATGCCGCCAAGCGCACCGGCGTCAAAGTCAACAAGACCCCCAAGCCTGGCGCCGTTGCTCAGTCCAATGCTGGCAAGTATGGTCACGTCGCCTGGGTCACGGCTGTCGACGGCAACAAGGTCACCATCGAGGAGTACAACTGGGCCAAGCGCGAGGGCTACGGCAAGCGCACCGTCGACAAGAGCGCCTTCAACTACATTCACCTCAAATAAGCGTCTCGATGGCTTCGCCAAGGGGCTACAACTGGTGATGATATCAATGGGGATGAAGAGATGGCACGAGCAGTGGAGGTCGAGCATTAGACGGGCTTTGTTTTTTTCACTGCATAGATTTTGGGTTGGTTTTATTTTTTGAGTGGGTTTTTGTTTTTTTGTTTCTTCTTTGGAGGGTTTTGAAGAGTTGTATATAATCATTATTTACACTCGCATGGAATGGATTTGCATTTCCGGCAAACTTCACAGCTCCTCGTGCCCACACAGGTTGCAGCGTCCTGTTTCCTGCCTCTGCTTGCCTTCTCGTCCCACCGTCCCAAACGTCCCCTTCATAAACAAGTCATCCACCACCTCAGCCGCCCTCTCATCCGCCACCTTGAGCCTCAGGAAGAACTGATTCCTCACCCCCTCGTCCCAAACCCACCGATTCGTTCCGTCCCGCCGATCCACCCTGTTATACCCACAGTGGTTCCCAAATTCAAACAACCCGCTCTCCCCGCTTTCCTCCGGTCCCTCCAGCCCGTGAATGGCATACACCACAGCCAGCGGATCCCATGACGGCCGGGGCGTGTAGTATCCGTACCATGCGTAAGCCATCCCAACGGGGTCCCTGTCCTCGTCTTTCAGTTGTGAGCCAGGAGCAGCAGCAGCTGCTGATATGAGCGGGCCGCCGGTTAGGACGCGCGCGCCGACGTCATCGCCCACGTAAACGACGCGGACGCGGGGCGGCCAGCTGCTGCGGTCGGTGAGGTCGTTGACAACGTGCGCGGCCAAGGCAGGATCCGAGCCCGCAAAGTTCCAACTGCCCGTGCTGCTATTGCCAGTACTGTTGGTGAAGGGGAACGAACCGCCCATGATTACGAGCTCGGAGAGCTTGCGGGCCAGCAGGGTGCGGCCAGGGAGCGGGGAGTGGGCATCAGCTGTCGAGTTGAGCAGGACGGAGAGCTACAGTTTACGTGATAACGGTTAAATTCAGGTCGTGTGTTGTTGTTACATGAGAGCTGGAAAAAGATAAACGTTGTCAAAAGAATGGATGGAAAATATGAAGGACGTACATTATCCAAGAACCCGATTGACACAATTGTCACGCTGCCGTCGTCCGCCTCGGCCAGCACCTTGCGGTACAGCGCCACGGGGTCCCACGCGTCCTCGGCGCGGCCCCAGGGAAGGCTGCCGCCCGAAAAGTGGTAAGCAACCTTGCTGGTGTACTCGCCCAGCGTGAAGGACCAGCTGTCAAAGAAGGTGGTGTTGGTCAGGGGGCGCGGGATACCGATAGGGACGTGGGCTTTGCCATAGTGTGCGAGGATGGCGGACGCTGCAAGAGCCGAATACGAGGATGGATAGTTGATGCTCACCGCGAGGAGATTAACGTTTGGAGATGTGGTTGCAATCAAGAGGGCACCGGCATCGCTGGATTGAGATGTTAGCTTACGTCAAACCACAGGCGAACGCGAAGATTATATTGAGATCCCAGTGCTCACTTACTCTACGTCACTGAAGAGATCTGTATCAATAATGAGGTTCTTTTTGGCAAGAACAACGGTGCTAATTATTAGATGGAGAGCTATGGCGAAAGGTTTCATATTCGCGACGCTGACACTAGGTAAAAGATGGTTGATGACCTCATGAGCATGAGGTTCAATGGTAAATTGAAACGATTGGCAACTTAAGCAGATAGGACAACCGGCATTTACTACACGTGATTCTTTCGTTTCACTTAATCCAAAGGTGAGATACGGACGTAAATTACTTCGATACCTACTTGGCTTAGTTGAAACATAAACAACTTTAGCGGATGACAGCAAAGCTGATGCTTGGCCGAACCTAAATGCTTGGATTGAGTCCACGGACGTATTGGTGTCATAATATCCTACTCCCACTTGGTGAGCAGCATACGGTCACTGCATGATTGGCGATGAGCAGAATGATTGGTTTCTCCACAATTCACAGCATGGAACTGTTAAGGTTGGTTTCAAAATAGAACCCTTGACTGCCAAAGCTGCCCACCCCACACAGCGCGAAATCATACAAAACTCTATTTGCACTGTAGTTACCTTGTACAACTCCGATCTCCCCGCACAGCCAAATCCTTCCTACCCAACTTCCCACCAAAGCCCACCAGAGCACCCAGAGCCTCTAAATAGAGAAGCTACTGTAGTTCTATGGCGTTTTGGTAAGCTGCCTTTCATGGTTTGATGAATAATACCTCTAACTTGCCTACTACGTATAGCCCACCATGTCCGCAGTGCCCGCAGAGCCCGTAGTGCCTGTAGCGTCCGTAGTGCCGACAGAGTCCGCCGTGCCTGCGAAATCTACCAGGCATGGCAAGTATACGAGTATTGCCCAACGGACACAGGCCTTGACCCTTCACGCAATGGGCATCAAACACTCCGAAATCGAGGCCAAAACGGGCGTCAAAAAAGAGGCGTTCAAATCTCTCTTACGCCGGGCAAAAGACCGGGGCTATATACCAGGTGGCCCAGTCAAGGAGGAACATGTTGCCAACGCACCCAAATCTGGACGGCCGACAGTGGTAACCGAACCTGTTGCATAAACGATTGACAGGTCGTGACCAAAAATGGCACCACTAGACAATACTCTTGGTAGCAGATCGCTCACGCGGTCGCCGAGCTACTTCCTGGTGGGGAGGAGCGAGCCAGGTAACTATTAGGCGACGGCTGAAGCAAGCTGGCTTTAAGAACGTCAAGTTGACCTGGTATAACTGCAACCAAGATAGCAAATTGAACGCTGTAAAGAATGCCAAATAAGCCAAGTTTTTGCTATAATTATTGGATATATGCTGAGTTGGAAAGACCGACTTGTCGGCTACAGCGTTGGCTGACTGCACCGTGGGCCCTGATCTTGGCAATGTGGGTGCCTACTTTTTACACTAACCTTCATAATAAGTGGAGGAAAAAAATTGTGGTGATCTCTCCCGCCGGGAATTGAACCCGGGTCTCGAGCGAAGTCAGGACTGGAAGTCCAATGACAAGCTCACATACTGACCACTATACTACGGAAGACTCGTGGGTGTTTTCACCCACCGTAGCTTTTTGCTTCGGCGGTCAGGCAGGCCGCTCTATGATTGGCACACAGCAGACGATCCAGCACAACCTAGTCCGTAATGTACGGACCTATGTGGTTAATAACTTACCGCAGTAAACTGTACTCCGGCTCAAGTCCACCCACTAGAACCACGACGTCATTGACCGACCTCTGCAGCTCTTTCGCCTGAGCGTCACAACTGCCGCAACTCAGGTACCCAACCTTTCTTGCAGTTCTGCATACACTAAGTGGGCAACCCACGCTCTCTTTGCTCTTTTGCTGGCATGTCACTTTGTTGCGTGGACCACGCTACGGGCCCACCTGGCCCATACACTTCAGGCACCCCTCTCCACCTGCTGCATGCAGGTTTTTCCCACAGACACACAGTTAGAGTATGACAGACAGTATCACCACCTTCGTTCTATCTGCCTGTCCCCACACACTTCGAGTCCAGTATTTGCTTCATGACGTACCATCCACTCACAATAAGATGAATGACGTTACCATACCAACACACCTGGTCTTTTTCACATGGCAATGTAGGTAGATATATTTCAATGCTTGACATTCACTCTATGTTGTCCGTAAAATTTGAAGAAAGCGGTTGCTTCTTTGCTAACGAGCATCAAACATGACTAAGGGCATTAAAATCGTCTCGCCAGTGGGCGACAGGCTCGACTGGGAATGCAAGGAGCTGAAAGACAAGTTTCCAAAATCCCGAAACGATATCGGGATCCCAATCCCCAAACCGCAAGAATGCCTGCTCCTCATCGATGGCGAGGTAGTCAAGAGCACTGAGAACCCCACGGATGTGCACACGCCCATCGTCACCCAAGACAAGCCCGACGAGCACATCGCCATCGGCCGGTTTGAGATGGCGTCGGAGCAGCAGGCGATGCAGGCCCTGGAGGCTGCTGAGCACGCCTACATGTATGGCCGGGGCACATGGGTCAGGATGTCGATGGAGGAGCGGTGCAAGCGCATGGAAGCGTTTGCAGGCGATCTAGAAAAGAAGACGGACGAGATTGCCGAGTTGCTGATGTGGGAGATCGGCAAGAGCGCCAAAGACGCCGGCTCCGAGGTGACGCGGACGATAGCATACATTCGCACAGCCATCCAGGAGGCTAGGGCGCTGGTCGAGTCCGAGTCGCGGTGGCAGGAGCAAATGGGGATCCTTTGCCAGATTCGCCACTTGGCTGTGGGCGTTGTGCTGGCCTCGTCTCCTTTCAACTATCCGCTCAACGAGGCCTACACGACTTTCATCCCCGCCCTGCTCATGGGCAACTCTGTCATTGTGCGTGCGCCCCGGAACGGCGCCACGCCGCACTTTCCCACCCTCGAGCTCTTCGTCAAGCACTTCCCCCGCGGCAGCATTCAGCTCCTGACGGGTTCGGGCCGCCAGGTTATGGGTACCCTTGTCGGAACCGGCCGAATTGACGCCGTGGCCTTCATCGGGACCGCGTCCAGCGCCAAGGGCCTCCTCAAAGGCGCGCCCAACCCGCAGCGGCTGCGCGTCATGTACGAGGGCGAGGCGAAGGACGCCGCCATCCTGCTCCCGGACGCCGACGTTGCCGCGGCCGTCGACGAGTGCGCGTCGGGCATGACGTCTTTCAACGGGCAGCGCTGCACTGCCTTCAAGATGATCTGGGTGCACCAGTCGCAGGCGGAGGCGTTCTTGGAGCAGCTCGCCGCTAAGATCGACGGCCTCCCCACCGGCATGCCCTGGGACGAGGGCGCCAAGGTGACTCCGCTCTGCGAGGACACCAAGCCGGGTTACGTCCGCGACCTCATCTCTGACGCGCTCGCTAAGGGCGCCCACATTGTCAACCGCACAGGCGGGCGGTGCTACAAGACGCTCTGCTCGTTGTCCATCCTCGCGCCCGTCAACAAGCACATGAGGATCTGGAGTGAGGAGCAGTTCGGGCCCGTCACGCCCGTGGCCGTATACTCCGACGTACAGGAGCCCATCGACTGGGTTTCGCGGGGCGAGTACGGCCTACAGTGCGCGCTCTTCGGGTACGACGAGGCACTCCTGGGCCGCCTCGTCGATGCGCTCGCGTACCACGTCGGCCGGATCAACATCAACGCGCCTGACCAGCGCGGGCCCGATGTCTTCCCCTTCACCGGTCGCGGCAACTCGGCCCTGGGAATTCTCAACGCTGCTGAGGGCCTCAAGTTCTTCTCAGTTCCGACCATGGTGGCGACCAAGACAGACGACGAGCGGAGCGTCGGCGTGCTAAAGGCGTTGAACGCGGGGGACAAGTCGAGCGTCTTGTTTGGTGCAAAGTGAGGTTACGCGGGTAGGAGAGAAGGAAGGCTATATCGCCTTGGCGGGTTGGAGTGCATCTTTGTTATACGACATTTAGCGGATCTGAACGACAATCATGTACAAGGTAGATTGGAAAGTGAACTAGAATCGGAGTAAAAAGTTATATAGTTAACTACAGTAGTTACCCAGATAAAGTTCAAGGTTCAGTCGCTAGGGATATCCCTCGTATTTCCTAGAATACTTCGTCTTCAAGTGTAGGCGCCGATAAAGAAACCGTCGAACCTAGTTTTCGCCGACAGTCATTATTGAAATTGGGGTAGCCGTGACAGACGCGTCGAGTAAGATCGGAGTCCTACACTCGTGTAGTAGGAGGTCGGCCATGTGCCGAATATAGCCAATCGTTGGCGGCATGCCACGATCGTCCATTGACTCGATCCATCGAATCAAGGCAGTTTCTTCAGTCGGGCATAGCCTTGACTTACGCTTCTCGACTTATATCCCCCCCCATTGACACGTCTATAGAGAGTAGACTTCGATACGTCAAATGTAGCTGTAGCCTTGTAAATGCCTCGAATTTGGCCCGAATACAACGCATTGAGCGCTAATTGGACCCTCTCTTCATACGGCAGAGGCTCCTGCATTTTGCTGGGCCCGATGGGGTCGCGAGATGGTCCGAAGTCAATGTTGTGGGATGTAGGGCAGAAAAGTGTCCCAAAAGGTGGTCTGTCCCGAAAGGTGGTAGATTACATTAATCCTCACAGACCCGCGAGCCTAGTGGGAGCCCACGTGTGCGTCTAGTGGGCGCTATAAGCGTTGAATGCATGCCAACCTGACCATTTAGGACTCGCGCTGCCCATCTTTAGCGCCTTTCAACTTGACAACCTCCCGTCCTTCCCTTTTGAGCCAGCTACATCTTACAACTGTCTGATCACTATTATTCCCTGCGCGAAAAAAAAAATCAAAAGAAAAGAAAAGAAATTTTACTCTCCTCTTGTGAATGTCGCCGTTAAGGCCTTTTCCCGGCCAGCGCAGATTCGCATCACAATATAAGCAAACATCAAGGAGGCGCCGTCGGCGCTGACCGTTCTTGCTAACGGGATATCTCCTATGAACGGCTGCCACGTTCAATCCTGCTCCCTACCGAGAAGGGCAACAACTAGATCTTCAAGTGTGCGAAAGCTACTCCCGCGACCTGCCGTCCCGGGTTACTGACACTATAAGCAAAGTACTCTCGATGACCATGTCCGTTGTATTGGATGTCAGCGTCCAGAACCGGCATGGCCCGCCTATCCACCATGTGCTCAAGCTCTACGACCGCCGATTTGGCTCATGCCTACGCGATATTCTCGAGGACAAGCCCGCGCCATATACACGGGAAAATGAGGCAGCATTCCAGACTTTTGTCGGGCGGGGAATGATACCCGGGTCTCTCCGACATCTGAAGCAAAGAAACGATACCGAGCAATATGCCGTTGCAGCTTGGCAGTTCCTTGATGAGCCCAATCGCACCGAAGGCCTTGCCAAGTACGAAGCGACGCTATGGCGTGACTGTATTAAGCACTTTGAATGCGAGATCACGGCCTATAACCGACTTGCCGATCTCCAGGGCAAGTTGGTTCCGCGTATGTTTGCCCAAATAAGTCTGTCGTCCATCCAGCTTGCGACTATACCACAGGAGGCAGCGTCCTACTTTGATGTTAAGGGTATCCTTCTAGAACGTATCGACGGATATTGTTTAGGAGACCTGACAGTATCTCCTCTACCAAGTAACCTGAGGAATGGCAGCAGATCATCCAGTCGGCCGTTGATGCAGCGCACGAGATCAACAAACGCGGCATCATCATGAAGGATTGTGCACCACGTAACGTGGTCGTGGACGGGCAGTCAAACACGCCGGGTATCGTAGACCTGGCACAATGCCGCTTCCGAGACGAGCTGGTGAACAGATGGTATAAAAATGGGTGGAACGAGGACGAGGGCTGGGATCCGGATGTTGAGTATTGGGAGCAAGTGGGTACAGCGAGTAACCCAGCGGCGATTGGGGCGGTGATGGTGATGCGTATACAAAAGATTACGGGTGTGAAGGTGGACGTCAGGTATCCCGACTATGAGGCGATAATTGCCGGTACAAGGCGGGCAAAAGCGGAGGAAGCCGTAGCAGAAAAAAAGAAGGGCGCCGCAAAGTCGAGTTGAAGTGTAAAATGGACATGAATCGTGGTCTGGTGTAGCGGTGCCTAGGACGAGGATTCAATCAGGCCCGTCTTGGCAGGACAAATCATTACTCCTAGACGAGATATTACCATATCGCCCTGTCTTCGGTTAACATCCGGACGCTTCACTTATTGAGAGGACTCAATGTTGGCTAGCTTTAGATCGGCTGCTTATCTGGGCCTCTGGCTGCTTGGGTGAACGAAGATGCTACCGAGGCACACTCCCACCGAATTCTAGTACAGCCTGGATCTTCTTGTTCTTCCCGAGATGGCCTTCAGCGGTAAGGAAGCTCGGGGTCTACCTTGTGCTCGCTGGCTGACGACGACCAAGGGTATAATTTCAGCTCACTTGAAACATCTCACCGTACCTGGAAACCCACAGAATCCGGGCCCAACTCACAGTGGGCGCGAAACACTGGGCGCAAGTACGCCTGTACTGTCGCCGTGGGATACCCCGAGAAAGCACTCGCTCTTCGTCATTAACAAGGTCGGCAACCAG